TGTTGTTGTGATTTCTATTGTTATGGTTTCTTTTTAATTTGGTCTGGAAGTCTCTCTTGAGAGTGGGCTAGAAGCTAAGATAGCCACTCTCTTTGAGAGCCCTGATTGTGGGAAAGTTAGGTTTGCGTGTGTGTGTTAGGTGAGACACAATCAGGAGGTGAAATCAGAATATATGAAACATTAGAAATTTATTGATCAAAGGTTTCCAAGAGGTTAGGGGTGTCAAGAGGATCCTGGAAGGATGTTCAGAGGCAGCAGGAAGCTCAACCAGAAGATGTGTGTGTCAGAGGGGAGAGAACCAGTGACACTATGTTTTTGTTAACATCCATGGGCATTATTCTTTAGGCTTTCCCTTTGGTGTTGTGATGTGAATTGGTTAGTTTAAAGAAAATACATGTGAAGGGAAGAACTTACTTACATGACTATGGTCAACACTAATGTCTTGGTGAAGTGTTGGGTTTTTAGTCAGTGAGATGAGGAGTAAGCTGGCTGTCTCACAACCAACCACATAGGAAGGAGAAATTTTAACTAAGGGCAAAGGTTATGGGGTATTAGTGGGTCCCAAACAATTATGTCAGGCCTAAAAATGCATGCCATGGCAGCAACTATACAAGAAATCTGATGTGCATGTGTGTGTATTAATATACATACATGTACCTACATATATGCACATATAAAATCCCCAATGTGTGAACTTTCCAATCAATCACTATGGAAGCAATTTTTTTCTGTCCAATTAACCTCACTTATTCCCCTAAAACATGGATCTTATACCACTTGATGTAGGCTCACAAATCACTCATTAACACTAGCAATGCATTTATCTAATAAGCTCCAAAGTTGCAATCTGCATCTTGGGAACTATTGTTTTGCACAGGTCTATGTTTCCTCTATCCATTGGAGGCTTCAAAGTATCCTTTTTCCTTCATAAACTCTTCTTCACATATATTTTCAACAACATTGCCACTGTCTAGACACATAACTTACATTGACTAGGTGAAATAAGTTGCTGACTAATGTTGCATAGAGGTCACACTTTGGGCTGACAGTGTTTGACTAAAAACAAAGTTTTACTTCCCTAGAGAGAGTTAATCTCCTCTAGAGCTCTGTGGAAACCTCTTACAGTCTGTTGCTTAAGACAATTAACTTTGATAGAATGCTACGGTGCTGGATCAGTCCCCTTTTTCACCACATTGCTTGCTGCAACGATAAGGCTTCAACCCAAACTTTTTAATTGTAGTCAGGGAGAATCTAGTGTTCTAAATTAGCAGAAAAAAGCATGGCTAGATGCCAAAGACTTGCCTGTTAATTGCTGTCAATCGTGTGAGGTGGGGTGAATGCTTCCCCCATCATATAGTTTACATGTCCACAACTGAAGTGTTAGGATGCCTTTCCTGGATTGTAATGCCTGGGCATGCCAGATTATTGTGCACTAAGATGGTAGAACATTGCACCTGCTTCTGCCACTGTCTATGGTTATCCCCAATAAACCTCAGTTTAGCCAATCTTGAGTGTGGGCTGCTTGGTCACTCGTTGTCATTTGCTCAATATCTCAAACTTTGCCTCTTATACTGAAATGAACTCTTATGCTATTCTCAGAAAGGTAAAAAGATGTATATTTGGTTTAGTGTTTCATTTCCCTTACCCACAAACTTATAAAATATTAATAGTACATGATAAAATAGATGGCATCATATAGCACAGAAGAATAAAGTGCCATGACATATTTCAAATAATCAAAGTAACTAACTTACTCTTATAATCAAAAAGCATCCAATAACATTCATAGGGTACCTACTGTATCCATCAAGTGAATCCCCAAGGTGGTCATTGCCATTGTTTAAGAGAAAGTATTTTAAAATGATTGCTTTTTCTATGAGAGAATCATTTATGATACCTGACAGTTTATGGTATCCATTAAGTTTTATATTATTGAATGTGATTTTATCACATTTTGAGGGAATATTTGTTCTGAACATAGTGCCCAATTGTTCCTTTTAATGGTCATGTTTGCTTGGAATGCTGGTCATCAATTTCTTTAAGAAGAGTTATTGTTTTATATTACTTTTGCACACCATAATGCTTGATAGAAACTCAAATGTCAAAAATATTATAATACCACCTTGTACTTGCTTCAGCTATAGAATTAGCTATTTACTTAATTATGACTGTATTAGTCACAAAAATCTTCTATGATTCTTATATAACTCTTAAATGTGTAGTACAGTGGGCATCTTTTGTTCTTATAATGCAAGTTTTTTGTGTGTATGACTATGTGGACAAACATAGTCTACCTAAACCAAGATACAAGTTTAATTATTGATCCTTGATACATATTTTAAATTTCATCAATTCTCATTTTCCCTCCTAACATTCTTCCCATTGGCTAACAGGAACCCTAAAAGAACACAAGCATGTAAGACCAATCATATGACACTTTTCTCTGGTCATCAACTCAATGGTCTATGACAGAAAAATCTACCATTTTAGCTGGACAGGCTCTGAATTCATGGCTTTTTAATTCTTCCATTATATACTAATCCAGCGTTTGAGTTAGTTTCTTCTCTAATATTTTCAGTGTATTGGGAAATTACTAATCCAAACTTCTGTTCTAATATTGCTGAGCCCATCTGTGTACTTCTCCAGAGTCCTATATTGTCTTGTTTTCCTTATACCCCACTTCATTTCATACTACACAATCCCATTTTCGCAGAGTTCCAGAGAGCCCACTTCTGCAGGTTAGGCTGCAATCACTCTTGCTTCCACACAGCACAGATGCTGAAGGCAGGAAGCATTCTGCTATTTTATCTCCATTGTAGAACCATTTGAAGACACAACTTTTTTTCTTTAAGCAAGAAGAAAAGTTGACCTAAATATACTTAATACAGAATGTAATAATTGACTTAATTAAAGTTGACATTATTTCCACATCTCATTCTTGGACACAAATGTGAACTCTTACCAATTTACAGATTAATTCTACAGAGACTTGAATGGGGTTGGATAGTTTAGGATGCATGTTTATATGGATGTACACATTTCCCAGAATACTTAGGCCCAGTGCCTGACAACACAAACCACCTAGACTCATAGACAAGTATATGGCACTCTTAAAAAGGAAAGCCTATTGCCCTTATCTGTCTTACCCCATCTCCTGGAGGATTAATTTTAAATTAATGAAGAGTTACAATTTACTGCTCAGCTTTTATAATTCCCAAATTCTAAAGCACATGTACATATGACCAAAGGCTTTTGATCATGACCTTTCTGGAAGCAAAGCTGGCATTTAATTACACAGTGGGTTTAAAAGCCTCCAGGTTAACTTGTACTATTTCCTTTTGCACTGGATTATAGATGATCTGATTTACAGGGCACCTTTACTTAGAAGCTGTGGTAGAGTACTTTTTGCTTGCTCTATTAATTAAATTATATTCAAATGTTATTAAAGCATTACTTAAAGAACCCTATTGTTAAATAGTTAATAAAATAATCTATATAATGTATCTAATCTATATAATGTATCAGTTTCTTTAAAATATATTTGTGAAACCATATATTTTGCTTGATAAAACTTATTTTTTAATATAAAATCCATGAAAAACATTTTCTAATCTTTTCTCAAATACCAAATTATAAGATATAAGACTCTCAATATAAGACTTTCAAGAGAAAAATATTTTCTTTCTCCAATTTTTCACACATCTACCAGATTTACTTATTTTATTTTTGAAAACTCCTAATTTGGTCATCCTATTGCTGTAAATTCAGTTTTGCAATTAGCATAACATACAGACATTGCAGTATGGCATGCAATTTCTTTATATCGTGACATTATTTGATTTTTCTCACATAATTTTCCATCATTTTCTAAAAACAATCCATATTCTAGATTCCCTTTTATAGGCCTCTTTACTGTTCCCCAAATCAAAAATGTTGCATTTCTCTGTTTTTTTTTAATACTATCTTTTCTTCATGAAATGGACTCTACTTTTCCTATCTCAAAATTTTACTTTAATTAAAGATTCAGCTGAAGAGTCACTTTTTCTTTAAAGCTTTCTGTGTTTCTTAAGTATAAAATTATTTACTCTTTCCTCTAGCCAATTTGTATAGATATTCATTCTCCATTCATTTAAAACAATTTCTATCACCCATGCTATTTGGGCGATGGGGACACCTATAGTCAGGATTCAAGCATTATAAAAGTGGTCCATGTAACCTAAAACATTTGTACTTCCTTAGTATTTTGAAATAATAAAAAATTTCTTAAAATTGGAACACTATATCACCAGCGTCAGAATCACTTGATTATGTGAAAAATACAGGTTTCCGGACCCCACTCTGAAACTACACAACCAAAAAGTGGTGGCAAATACTGACCAAATTCCAAATAAGCACTCCAGGTCATTCTTATGTGCATTCAAGACTTGGAACTACTGCCTGTGATGATGGTGAGCCTCTTAAGGACAGAGTACTTGTTTTGTCCTTTAATTTACCTCTAGAGATAATAGGCTAGCAAAAGTAGTATCTAGGTATAATAATCTCTCAATATAACCTCTCTAAATGAAGAGGATTACAATGCCAAAATAACAATGTTATATAAGTCCCTTTTTAGTGCTCTGATAATAAAAAAAAATGTTCAGCAATAAGGGTGGAATTTGTTCTTATTAATTATAGTATTTATCAGTGATTTTCTAATCTATTTTTAGTTGTGAAGGCTTTGGAATTAAACAGAAACAGAGCACAGAGATTCACCACTTGGTTAGAACTCTCTTATTATTACTACACCATAGAATTCCTAGAACATCTTCGAACCCACATGGAAAACAATATATAGATACAAATATGAGTTGAGAACTCTAGAAAAGTAGAACTTTTAGTGAATCATCAAGTTTTGATTTAGTTCCCTGACACATTATATCTAATAAAAACTGAGGAAAAATAGTCCAAAATTTTTAGACCGTGTATTTGGGTATTTTAAAAACATGTTATTCAATTTCATATTGAGTAAGTTTGAGTGATTGTTCAACTGCAAACAGCGAATCTCAGCTATGTCTTTCATCCTCCCCAGACCTAGTGGTTATTCAACACCATTGTAGCCAGGCAACTTTCTAATGCCTGTAAGGGGGAGGAGTTTCTGCTAACACTAAGTTCAATTTGACAAAGAAGATTAACTGAGAAATAAGGAAGGATATGACTAGTTGATGGCTTCTACTGAAGTTTATCACTTCCTACACTTATTGTTTACTTTGTAATGATTTTTCTTCAAGGCATTGCTCGGATTGGTAAGTATGAGTTTAACTCTAAGATAGAAATACATACCACCTTCAACATACTGATTTTTTGAAAGTTTTAATGGTAGTTTTGTAAGTTGGATAATAGGCACAAAAAACAATTAAATGGAAGAAGTTAGTTCTAATATTCAATAGTAAATCAGAGAAATAATATTTAACAATAATTTATTGTCTGTTTCAAAGGAGCAAGAAGAATTATAATGTTCCTGATACAAAGAAAAGATTTTGAACCTCTCCAACACAAACAAATTATAAATATTTGGGGTAGTGGATATCTCAGTTACCTTGGTTTGACCATTACACATTGTATATATGTATACATTTAACAAATGGCTAACGTCCCTAAATTAGAAACATAAATGGGTAAATAATGAATATTCCAAGCAAAAGGGACACTGTAGGGGAAGAATCTTAGACAGTACTGAGTATGATCAAATGAGAGAGCAGAAAACTATTTCACTCAACAGATGTTTATGTTGAAAATCAGTGAGACACAATGTAAGAAATATGCACAAAGCAAAATTGGGTAGATTTTTGAATAGAAGCTTAGATGGGGTATGAAATAGAAACAATATAGGGGCTCTCAAGGAGGTGGGATTTGTTTGATGTAGGGCTGAAATTGAAAGTGGAGACTGCAAATGTTAAGTCTCTTGTCTAAGGTTCTGTGATAATTTCCACTTACTCTTGTGCTGCACACCACGCCCCATGGGGAAGAATAGGAATGTAGTGAAGGAATGTACGGTATATTAAACCCAAGAAGATTTGAACATATCTTCCAATCATACAAGGTGAAAGGTGTAACATCTTTCCTTACCCATCATAAGTGTCACAGCTGGCACTCCTATAACAAAAGACAGGTTAATAGGAGAAAAACATAACATATTTATTTAATTAAAGTTTTACATGATATAGAAACTTAAGAAACAAGGATCCATATGTTTGTCAGCCATTATTCTGTCTTCTTTTGGGAAGTTTTGTTCATGTCCTTTGCCCACTTTTTGATAGGGTTGTTTGATTTTTCCTTGCTGAATTTCCTGAGTTCTAAATAGATTCTAGTTATCATGCGTTTATTGGATGTGTAGCTTGCGAAAATTTTCTCCTATTCTGTGAGTTGTCTGTCTGCTCTCTTGACAGTTTCTTTGGCTGTGCAGAAGCTTTTAAATTTGATCATGTCCCATTTATTTATTTTTGTTGCTGCTGTGATTGTCTTTGGGGTCTTCTTCATAAATTATTTGCCTAGGCCAATGTCTAGAAGAGTATTTCCAACGTTTTCCTCTAGAATTTTAATAGTTTCACACCTAAGGTTCAAGTCCTGTTACCCAGCCTGAGTTGATTTTTGTGAGAGGTGAAAGGTGTGGGTCCTGTTTCAGTCTTCTACATGTGGCTATCTCTAATCATCAGGGAAATGAAAATCAAAACCACAAGGAGATATCACTTATCTCCAGTGAGAATGGCCTTTATTAACAAGTCTCAAAACAATAAATGGTGGCATGGATGTGGAGAGATAGGAACACTCCTACATTGCTGATGGGACTGCAAACTAGTTCAACCTCTGTGAAAGCAATATGAAGATACTTTAAAGTGATACAAGTGGATCTACCATTTGATTCAGCAATCCTATTACTGTACATCTACCCAAAAGAACAAAAGTCACTCTATGAAAAAGACACCTGCACTTGAATGTTTATAGCAGCACAATTCACAATCGCAAAGATGTGGAAACAACCAAAGTGCCCATTAATACATGAGTGGATTAATAAAATGTGGTATATGTATACCATAGAGTACTATTCAGCTATAAGAAATAATGGTGATATAGCACCTCCTGTATTATCCTGGATAGAGCTGCAACCCATTCTACTAAGTGAGGTATCCCAAGAATGGAAAAATAAGCACCACATGTACTCATCAGCAAATTGGTATTAACTGATCAATACCCAAATGGACATATAGGAATAACATCTATTGGGTGTCGGGAAGGTGAGTGGGGGAGGGAATGGGTATATACATACATAATGAGTGTGATGCGCACCAACTGGGGGATGGAAAAGCTTGAAGCTCTGACTCGAGGGGGAGGGGGAAAGGGAAATATATGTAACCTTAACATTTGTACCCCCATAATATGCTGGAAGAAAAAATAAAATAAAACAATAAAAAATTAAAAATTATAAAAAAAAGAAATTAGGATCCAAAGACCCAGAGAAAACTGCCCATTTTTATGTTTAGATTTAATGAAGAATCGACAGCTGTATAGAAATGTGATTGGGCAGGACCCCTCTGGAATAAGGGTCTTTAAATGAGAAGGGAAAAGGGAGAGAGTGACCTTTCTAAATTTTTGGTTTGCCTCAGGAGGGAGGAGTTTTAGTTTCTATGACCAGCCATAGGGAGAGGAATTCTAGTTTCTATGACTCACTTCGGGGAAGAAAGAGCAACAGGAGGTAAGAGAACAGGAGAAGTTCAAAGACACCTTGTTTCTGAAGTTCACTCAGTCGTCTTCAGTTCAAAGTACTCAGCAGGCCAAAGTGCCAGACTTTTGGGTGTTTATTTTGAGCCCAAACACAACACTTAAGACATTTTTGACCTTTGGAAAAAAGAAAGGAATGAATGAAGGAAGAAAAGAAGGAAAGAAAATGGGAAGGGGAGAAAAAAAAACATTTTTACTCTAGTAACCAAAAAATAATCTCTTCTTCTATCTCACTTGTGCTTATTTTGTTTAAACCACATTAGCTTTATCTCATTTATTCAAAAAATATATTCTACACCTCATTCAGGGCTTTCAATTACATTGGTGTCTTGGTTTGGAATCCTCTTAATACTCTTCTCTTCAACTGGATTATGTTTATGTCCTCAGAATATTTAGCTTCTTTAAAAAGCATGGCTTGTGTTTCCAAATCTTATTCCTTTATATGATCTCAATGTACCATGTACACTTTTATTCATACTACTCATCACAATTATAACTTTTAAATAAGCTTATCTTTCCATCCATAAGCAAGAAGGTAAATAAAAATTAAATGTTGGTATCCTTTACTGCCCAGCAAAGCTCCTCAAACTTCTACTAGGGAATAATTTAACATGCCACAGAACTTTGCACCCTAAAGACAGACTATGCAATTAATATTCCTAAAATAAAAATCTAAATACCAAAATAATATTCAAAATAGTATATCCTTTGACAATGTTGTCCCTGTACTACCTGGATCAGGATTACCTACAGTTCTTTATAAAATATAGATACCTCCATTCTACCACAAACTTACTTTATGACATTCTTGAGGGGAGGGAAAAAAATACCTTTTTAGTGGAAATATTACAGGTGATCCTTATATTTGCAATGCTTCAGAATAGAACAATTGTTTGTGATGTTTAAGAATAGACCAATTAGGAAATGTATGATGTAACACATTATAAACAACTATTAGTCCAGGAAAACTTGAATACCCAAATTTCTCACAAATTATTCTACCAAATAATGGAAATAATGTGGAATGATGAAAAATGAAATTACTGGAGCTCCTTTAGAGGATACTATCATGGCATAAGTAGATGTATTGTGGTAGAAGAGAGGCTATAAAATATTGATGGACTATTGACTAGAGGTGGCAGAGGAAGGTAAAAACAAATTATCTGAAAGCACAAAGAAGCTGCCTGTCGCCATGGAATGGAAAAGAGCTTCAATATTAACAACATTAATGAGTAATCATTGTCTGAAATACATTTTCCTTATTATCATATCAGAATTATCTTCATTTCAACTTCAGAGAAACAAAAGACAATTTTTGCTTCCATAATTATATATTCTACAGCAAAGTAACAGTTCACTTTGGCAAGATGATTCCAAATATAGATATTGTGATTGTTACAAGCCAAAGGACTGTGGCTATCTTCATGAGCTAGTACAACAGTTGAGCTGTTTGGGGTTCATTTGTTATGGGTCTGAATTCCAAGTGATTAAAAAGTTTTACCTGCTCAAATATTGTTCATGCCTAAAAATAATGTTGATAGAATTTAAACATTTCCATTCTAGCTTCCCACACCTTATTAGAAAAAATTTACTTTGCCATGAAAATTGGAAACAAGGCAAATTTATGGTTTTCAACTTAAAGTAATATTCTAGAGTGCCCAACATTCATTTTCATAGCATTTGAGCTCAAAAAAAGAAAATAAAAGAAAGAAAGGAAGGAAGGAAGGAAGGAAGGAAGGAAGGAAGGAAGGAAGGAAGGAAGGAAGGAAGGAAGGAAGGAAGGAAGTGTTGGGCCGTAGAAATGTACAGCCCGTTTGGGAGAGAGAGACGACCGCCCCAAAAGACTCAGAGTCCAGAGGCTTGATGCAAGAGAGCAAGAGGATTTATTTCCAGCGCAGCACAGGGGCTAAACAGCATCACTGAGATGGGGAAGCTGCCTCGCCGAAGCTCTCAAGCTTAGGGTTTTTATGGGGCGAGACCACACGCAGGTGGCCGGGGAGTTTAGGGTGGGGAAATTCCAGTAGCTCCAT